AAATGTTTTCCCTACCTACCTACCCTATATTTTTTGGTCATGTAACGGTAACCACACATATATTTTGTTTTGGCCTGAGGTGTAGCGCCGATTATAACATAAGTACGCTGAACAAGCATCACCACCTTGCTTTGTCGTCTTAGCAGCAGCCATGATCGCTGCAAATAGCCTATCAAGATGGCCGCAGTGCGGCAGCTTCTTATCTTGAGTAGGCGTGTGTGACATGAGTAGCACCCATTGTATAGGAATGGTAGTTGAGCAGGAGATGAAATTGTCCTTCAGTGGAGTGAAACCGGTGACCGCGTAACTGTTACTGAGTAATTATATTGTTACGTTCTTCATTTGCAGGACAAACTGCAGGAGTCCAAGGCTCTGATAATGCCAGTAAATTCAGGAAACTACCACTGGATACTTTAGGTATTACGTTTTAATAATAATAAAAAATAATTAGCATCCTAGATAGACTGGGAGGCATTTTAATTGCAAACGTGCTACATATGTAGTTTATCGTAAATGTAGCCTTTATTTATGCCACTGTAGTTATACATATAGAGTATTTTATTTATTATCTTGCTATTTCTGAATTGCAGTAAATGCATGCGTTACACATATGTCGTGCTTTTATTTCTGCTATTTATTTTTATTTCATGCTTATTTTATGCTAGTATATATTTACTTCAGGGCATTTATACGTGGAAAGTTGCTTGGAAAAGGGGCGTGGCGCATGGAGGATGTGGGGAGGCAGGATACATCATGTGGGATATTTATTTGCAAGGTGAGATAATCCACTTCTAATGCACCATTTGATAAAATCAAATAGATCAGTTACTTGGGGAACTGAAATTTAAGACGTATATACAGTGATATATATAGAGATAATGTGGAGATTTTAGGGGTGTGTAACTCACAGGAGCAGTAGACTAGATCGGGAGGGATAGACTGAACTCATTGGATAGAGGGACTGAGGAGGGGAACGAGAGCCCGTAAACGACCACAGAGGATGGATTTGTAGGAAAGGGGGCCATTGTTTGTTTGTTTGGTCTATTTTGTTTTGTTTAGGTGACCACCAGAGATCATCGACTCAACGCGGTGGATGTTCTTTTGTTTGCTTTGGTTGATTTTGGTCTGTTTACGTAGGGGGCCATGGAGCTGGAGTGGAGGCCGAGAGAGGGAGAGACGATTAGCGGAGGGGAGGAGAGTGAGAGCGGCCGGCAAGCTCGGCCGAGGAGGGCGACCAGGTGGGATCATTGGCCCAAGGAGATTAGCAGCGGGCGGCAAGCAGAGCGAGAGGCGGCGCGGGAGGCCAGGTTCCACCAGGCGAGGGCGGCGTGGTCGCCGCACAGGTGCTGGGAAGAGAGGCACCCGGAGCGAGAGGTGACCCTCTTAGACCTACCGTTCGCCTGGAACTGGAGGCCAGCCCAAGGCCAGGGCCAAGCCACCAGCGCAGCGAGCGGTAGGGTGGCAGCGATCCCTGCCGGATCGGTCGGCATACCGCCGCCGGGGTCCCTGGCGAGGAGGAAAGAGAGGATCGAGTGATAGGAGAATAGCGGAGAGGCGAGGACAGTTGAGGAAGGCAATGAACGCGATGGAGGAAGAGGAGGCCTATAGGGAGCAGCTGGAGAAGGAGAGGGAGGCGGAATCGGTGCGAGGGGGGATTTAGATTAGAAGAGACAATTAAGGAGATCACCTTATATACCTCTATGTTTATTTTTATACTTGTACGCATTATACGCATACTAAACAGTATTACTTACCTGTGATTTTATATAGGATACCTATGTATATATGGATGTATATATTGCTACCCGTGTAGGGATTATAACTCAGGAATTAATCTAGATAACCTCTCTATAAATATATTATTTATTATGTACAGGCACATCTACCTCATTATATTGTTGTCTAAAATGAGTATGGAAATATAGGAGATATTTATATAAAACAGGAAAGACTTCGTTTCAGTCTCATTTTGTTGTTGTTGTTGTTGTCAAGTGCCAGTTCACGGACACGTTGGAGGAGAAGAGCTGGGAGACAAAGGCGTATCCGAGGGTATGAAAGTAGAGGGACTGAAAGTAGTTGGGGGGAGTTGTGGAGATTTCGGGGGTGTATAACTTACAGGAGTAGTAGACTAGATCGGGAGGGATAGACTGAACTCACCGGATAGAGAGAATAACCATATATATATACTAAAGGCAGGATAAAATATAGACAGCATGTAAATATTGACACCTTGGCGTGGCCATCTTGGATCATGCTATCACTGCTGGTGCTGCTGCCTGTCGGGCGAAAACAAGGAATATTTACTCAGAAACGGGTTGCATAAGATGATGCAATAATCCGTGCCAGCCACGGGTTGCGACATTGGGTGAGTCATCACGGTACGGCCAGGTACGGATTGCACCACCGGGCGAAACAGCCGTAGGTGGGGTGTTGCCAGCTAAGTATATAAGGGAGACGGCACCGAGCAGAAGCAAGCATTATTTTCAGGTCTGGGTAGGAAGAAGAAGAAGAAGAGGGAGGAGAAGAAGAAGGCGAAGGAGAGGAGGAAGAAGAAGAGAGGGAGCGAGAAAGCGTCAGAGAGATAGGGAAGAAGCACAGGTTTTCAGTTAGGTGAAAACCGGCGACGAACGGGAGAAGGGAATAAAACGAGGACGGGGAAGAACGGGATTCCGGTCAGGTAGAGCCAGGCGTGGAGGAGAGGGAGACACCTTGGAGGCTGCCTAGGTCTACGCGAGGAGAGGACGAACGTGAGAGAGGAAGACGAAACCGGCGACGTGTTACTTCGTCAATATTAATCTACTGGTGATAGGATCTGCGGCACATCTGAACGCAGAGGAATTATTTGTGAACTAGTAACAAGGAATAAAGCTATAACCATACCGTTAGCCGAATCTCACTGTGTTCTGTTCGTTTGGTGCTTGCTACCTGTTATCTGCTACGCGACATCACCGTCCTGCCTGTTACACCGGCGGGAGCGAACACTGAATCCCGCTACCGGGACACGCGTTACGAAACAACGTCTGTCGAATCGTAGTCGGCCACCCCTAGGGCCACTACAATAATAGACTTCTCAACTGGTGTGAGACCAGTTACTTGGTGACATTGAATTGAACACATGACAGACCCTATCACCTTTTTGCCTAACAGATTTCTAAAAATGTGTAACCATTACACCATATTCAAGAAAAGGAAGAGAATTGATAAATTCACTTGCGTAAGCGTGCAAAGCATGTTCCTTTATGTCTATCTATAGAGTGTTTGTGATAACTGAAGCTTTGATCAACTTTATTTTATTAAGTTTGCAGTTTGAGAGATCGGTCAACGACTTCCTACACAGAACTAAAACATCGCGGGGAATGAGTCGTAGCATCGAACGACGCTATCGCGACCACAGGCTGTTCTTTTGTACACAAATTCTATATAAAAGAAAAATATCTATATAATATAATAATTAAGGCTTACCTAGGTAGTACATGTATGAGCTTTTGAATATATATATATATATATATATACTCCCATTATGTACTCTTGATATTTATATATATACTCCCATTATGTACTCT